CTGAGTCATCTCTCTAGCCCCTAGTCTATAATTTTTCTAAAGGAGATCTTTCTTTCCTCTTCTTTTCTTTGAAAGCTTTTTCCTGGGTGTTTTGGACTTTTAAAAAGACAAGACACTTTTAAGCTTACAATATTGACCCCTAAAGCCCAGTCTGAGACTTTGATGCAGTTTGAGAATAAGTTGGTGTGATTTGTTTATTATTTTTAATTGAAGGGTTATAACAGTGCCCGGCACATTTTAGGTACTAGAGGAAATATTTAAAATTAAAATCCTAAAGGGGGGGAGGCAGGAAAGACCTCGAGATAGAAACAAAACCATAACACACCCTATCAAAGTACAGCAAGGAGCCAGGTGAGGTGATGCAACCTGTGGTCCCAGTGACTTGAGAGGCTGAGGCAAGAGAATTACTTGAGTTCAAGGCCAGCCTGGGTAACATGATGGAGACAGACTCTTTCTCAGACAGATCAGTAATGTTCTGAAAGGCTATCTCACAGGGAAGAATTCCCAGTTGGCTTCTCCATAGGCCTGACGTCTATAGGACAAACCAACACATGGGCAGAAAGATCTGCCTTCCTGAGATGTTCTACGGAATGGAGTTCCAGACCTTTATAATAAGATGATCTGTCTAGCACACTGGCACCTCATTAACACAGCAGCATCTTTTTTCATCTCGTTACTTACTAAGCCCTTCACTGGGTACCTGCTAGATGCCAACCGCTACCCTAGCCCCAGAGAAAACAAGAAGCTCCTTCCCACTGCTCTCATCAATGAGACTAGTGAAAACAAGCAAAGATGCACTGTGGAGTGGTTTTCAGTCTATAAGGCAGACAATGCCAAGATGGGAGAGATGTAAAGCACAAGCCCCTTCTTCAGTGTTCCGTCCACACAGAATGGTGCAGTAAGCAGACAGCTCCCACACAGAAGCGAGGATGAGGCATGGTGGTGTACATGTAATCCCAGCACTCAGGAGACTAAGACAGGAGGATCTTTATAAACTCCAGGCCAGCTGGGTCCTTGCTGTATTCCAGGTTAGCTTGTACTACATTTTTAAGACCCTGCCTCAAAAAATAAGAACAGGCTGGGTGGTGGTAGTTCACACTTTTGGTCCCAGCACTTGGGAGGAAGAAACAGGCAGATCTTTGAGTTTGAAGCCATCCTGGTCTACAGAGTGAGTTCTAGAACAGCCTGAGGTAAGTAGAGAAACCCTGTCTCAGACAACAAACAAACAAACAAACAAACAAGCGAAAATAAACCCAGAAATATAACCTGCTGTGTTCAAGCTCCATTTCTGCTGTGATACAAAACCTTGACATAAAGCCACACAGAGGAGACTTACTATAGCTTAAAATTCTAGAGCATGGACCATCATCCTGGGAAAGGCAAAGGCATGAACTTCAATCAGCTAGTCATGTTACATCCATAGTCAAGAGCAGGTATGAACGCATGGACTAGATAAGAAGAACCTGACAGTTGCTACCACCGAAAGCCATTGTACGGTGAGCAAACAAAACCAGACAGATTCCTTCTGGGTCAAAGGCTCTCGTAGAAGGTCCTTAAAAGTGCAAGAGGAGAACATACCTGTAAACCAGTGGTATCCACAGCAGTCACCTGCTGCTTCTGCCTGCTCCATGGGTACAGAGAATCAATATGTATTGCCATCCTAGGAGATGTGGCCTGTCTAGCCACAGAACCTCTCTCTTTCTGTCCACGCTGAGTAGTCTGCCATGCTAGAAGTCAGCTAGCCATAAAGTCATGACTTATGGCAGTCAGTAGTCTTAGCTTTTTTAGTGTATAGGAGAACAAAAGGAAACAATAAACTAAAAAGGTGAGGAGAAAGATAGGGCTCGGAGGGTCCTTATGACATCATTCAGCCCCAAGAGCTAGCCATGTCTGAAGCTCACCTTTGGACTTCCAACTGAAACAATCAAGGAGGGAAATCTTTTACTTAAGGAGCTTACATCGGATTCCTGAGATTTGCAGCTGGAGTAATATGTTCTCTTTCAGGGAGAGAACTTCACTTTCTGTGCAAGGAAGGGTGTAGACAGCAAGGGAGGACAGATGTCAGAGGTCTCTCCCAGCATCTGATAAAGCCAGTGAAGAGGCAGATGGAAAAACCACTGGAGCTCCTTGGGTTCAGGAACAAAGAGATGTGTGCTAAACCACAGTCTCAAATGGATGAGGTATATAAGCCCCATAGCCTACTATCCGGAACTATAAAGACAGAAGTGGCACACAATATCTCCTTTAAAACATAAAGAAAGCTGGCCTTTGTAGCATAGGTCTATAATCCCAGCTACTGAAGAGGGCTAAGGCAAGAAGATTGTGAGTTCAAGGCCAGCAGGAGCAAATTAAAGACCCTTTCTCAGAAGAAAAAGTAAGGAAGCAAGGGATACAGTCAGTGATGGAGAGAGTGCCTAGCATGTGTCCCAGGATGCTAGCATGTGTCCTAGCATGTGTGAGGGTCCAGGCTAAATCCCCAGTACCTCAAAAAAATTAATATAACGCACCAAGAATAATTTAAAGTTAGTTCCATTCCCACAGTGATGAGCATCTGACTTAGTTAGGGTCACTATAGCTGTGATAAAAAACAGTATGACCAAAAGCTCCTTGGGGAAAGGAAAGGTTTATTTTGCTTACATTTCCACATCACAACTCATCATTGAAGGAAGTCAGGGCAGGAACTCAGGTAGAAATCTGGAGATGGAAGCTGATGCAGAGGTTATGGAGAGGTGCTGCTTACTGGCTTGCTCCTCATGGCTTGCTCCTCATGGCTTGCTCAGCCTGCATTCTTATAGAACCTAGGACTGACAGCCCAGGAGTGAGTGGCCCTACCCACAATGGGCTAGGCCCTCCCTATCAATCACTGATTAAGAAAATGCCCCACAGGCTTGCCTACAAATGATTTTATGGAGACATTTCTCAGCTGAGGCTCCTTCCTCTCAGATGACTCCAGCTTGTGCAAAAGGGACATAGCATCAGTCACAGAACTTTTTAACCTGGATGCCAAATAGTCGTCTGGTGCTTTTGAAAAAACGCCAAAGCTTTCATGCAGCTGTGCCCAGTAAGTCAAGTCTATCAGAAGTCACAGCAAAGCAAATTGCTGTAGCTCAAGAGATCACTGCAAAAGCCCCAAAGCTCAGATTTCTGATTAAGAAAATGCCCCACAGGCTTGCCTACAAATGATTTTATGGAGACATTTCTCAGCTGAGGCTCCTTCCTCTCAGATGACTCCAGCTTGTGCAAAAGGGACATAGCATCAGTCACAGAACTTCTTGACTGTTGGCGTACTTCAAAACTCTAATCAGTTTGTCACAGATAATAATGCCAACCTTGGTCAAAAAGGGAGTTTCAAATCTTTAAGTCTATGAATCAGTAAGATCCTGTGTGACAGTGTGTGAAGTATAAAAATAGCAGCTTCATGGGAAGCATTGGTCTCCTGCTGGCAAGAGTAACAGGGCCTCAGGCTTTTCTTCTTCTCTACTAGCAGTCATCAAATACCTACTGTCTGCCCAGGATTCCAGTGCAGTATGCCCAAGCCCAGGCACCTTCACCTCCACTCCTAACAAAAAAGCTAAATCTTGGCTCATGTCTGAACAATACTAGGTAAGATGTAAAATAAGAGAAGACAAATCATTTCAACAATTAAATGCTATTCTCACAGGAAATAATGCTCCATCCCCTACTGCCCATACCTTCACGTTGCCAGAGCCCTAGTCATTGAAAAAGATTAAGACCCAAACCACATACATAGCCTGATGGTTTGGCTTCAAGCTCTAGCTCTTCAACAGTATTAGGATCCTGGCCAATACTTACCTTGTGCCATCTGTAAAATGGGACCAGTACTTACAGCACTAGGTTGCTGGCGGGGTTAAATAAATTAGTGTATGTGAAGTCCCCGACACAGTATCAGGAGCAAACGTTCAAAAAAGAGAAGGCATAATTAGTACAATAAATTGAAGTCTTAATCTCGTTTCAGCTCTAGAATTTTATGCAGTCTACAGCGGGGAAACAACGGCAGGACAGCAGATACCCAAAATAGCACAAATATCTCCTGCCTCTGAAACTACACCACCGATGCGAAGCAGCAGCAGCAATACAAATGCCTGCGTGCCAGCCCCTAATCATAGCGAGCCACTTTAAATTCTTACAGCCAGTCAAGGGAGGCATAATTATCTTCATTTTGTAGATAAGCGAAAGGAGAAGACCGGAGAGCAATGTCACACTGCTGAGAAACAGTGGACCTAATTCTACCGTTTATGCCCGCCTCAGTGTCCTTCTCTGCCTCCCATACAGCAAGCATTCAACTGTAAATAACATGGATGTTTTTCAGGACCTTTAAAACGATGGGAACAAGACCTCTTTCCTAGAGAAATAAGTTGGCACCGTCATTCAGCTGCCCACAATTTGATGTTCCTCCGTCCCTAATGACCTGCTCTAGCAACCTGTCCTCCCTCTTCTGCAGCCAGCGTCGGAGGCCTCAGAGTACCGGTGTCCTTCTGCAGCCGCTTAGACACAGCCCCTAGGCTGACTGCACCTTGCCCTCTCCCCCCTACGCGTTCGAAAGCTCACCGCCGGGCTTCCCGGGACTCGGATACCGACGCAGAACGCCTTACCCTCTGGCAGGACCCAAGAACCGAGCCAAACAGACCAAGGAAAGACAGGTGACGCAACAAGGCCTCCTGCTTCAGGGCCAGCCCGAGGCTGAGCGCCGTGCCCGCGACCTTGCGTGGGAACCCACGGCGGGCACCTTTGTGGCCCCGTGCCAGCCACGCCAAAGCGCGGGGTTGGCTCCCGGGGCCAGGCTCCGGGGCCGCGCATCTGCGGGGAAGGGACTCTCGGCGGGAGGGCCGCGGGTACCCAGCGGCTCACGCCCGCAGGAGCGCCCGAGCATCCGCGCAGCCCCGCCGCGCCCGCCGCCTCCACCGCCACTCCCCGCGTCTCCTTTTCCAGTGCTGCAGGCTGCGGAGGCGGCGGCCAGTGTGGGACGAGGAGCCTCTTACCCGCGCGCGACTCCTCGGACGCTGCCCACTCGTGAGCCCAAGGCTGCGCCGGACCTTCACGGCTCGTCCCAACCCGTAATCCCCCACCTTCAGTCAGGAATCAATGGCTAGGGCGCAGATTGGTGACATCACTGGCGCGCCGGCGTGGGAGGGAGGCCCATGTGATGCATCCCTCTTTTGTTTGAGCCCCTGGAAAATGAGGGGTTTGTGGCTTCTTCTCTCTCAGTTTTTTACCATCTGAGGAGGACATTTTTGTGAGGAGGACATTCCCAAATGGTGGGAACCAGGTACTTGGTGTCAGGATACTGCAGTTTTTCTTAGGGCCTTGATTCTACTCTCCAGCTCTCCATAATGTGGTTTGGTCGGAAGACCCGAGAAATTATGTGTAGATACAATCTTCTTTTTCAAGTGGACCTGAAGGCCACAGAACTGGTTGTCAATGTTCTGTGGCCAATAGACTTCTGAAGATCTGCTTTAATTAAGTTGGTGCAGGAAAATGCAACAGAATGGAGGCTAGATTGATAGTTCAGGGCTAAGAGCAGTGGCTGCTCTTCCAGAAGTCTCACTGTTGATTCTCAGCACCTACATGTCTGCTCGAAACCATCTGTTATTCCAGAGAATCCCCATGAGCCCTCTTCTGGCCCCCACGTGGCATTGCACACGTATGATCTGTAAACATACCGCATGCAAAACACCCATACTCATCAAATAAACCAACACATCTACAACATGACACCCACGAGAAGAACTAAAATATTTCCAATGAGCTGTTCATCACTTTGTAAGTGGTCCCAACCTTTCTGCTGTTGCCTTCACCTCAGTAGTAGTAACTCCCACCATGAATTTGCATTTACACAGCTACTACGTTGCTTTCATTTCTCTTCACATGTTACTAGTAAGCAACACGTTTTTATTAATTGTACATATATTGCCTGGGACTTTTATTTTCAGAAACTTGTTAAGTGTCATCTCTTATCATGCAACTTGAGTAAATTGCATATTGCACAATTTCACTGCTAGAGAATAATTGATTATGCATGCTAATTTATGTATCTCTTCTCTAACTATTTAAACATAATTTCAGTCTTCTATTTCCAGGTGTGATTATGATCACTATCTTCTGGTACCACTATATAAAATTTTTCTTGGTATTTTTATCTAGATGCAAGATTGATGGGTCTTTGGTATGTTAATGGTCCATTTTGTAACATATCATTGATTTTTTTATAGAAAATGTTTATACCATATTGCATAGCAACTTCCTCCTCTTGTAAAGACTCAGGGAGTAAACCCAGTGTGGTAAGGTGCACCTTTAATCTCAGCAATTGGAAGGCAGAGGCAGGCAGATCTCTGAGTTCAAGGCTATCCTGGTCTATAGAGTGAGTTCCAGGAAAGCCAGGGCTAAACAGATACCCTGTCTCAGAAAAAAAATCGAAAAAAGGATTCAGGTAAGGCTCAGGAAGCTCCTGAAACTTACAAGATTCATAAGGCCATCCCTGCAGTTACATAGGCAGTAATAGATTGCTTAGGAGGGAAAAGAGACAGAACTGGCTGCTCTGACTTGTTGACTGTGCTGGATGAGCTTTTGACTGATTTGTTACGCCTATAAGTAACCCCAGTAAACTCATTGGTTTGTCAATTTGGACTTTGGTGGAGTCATTACTTTAGCCTCTATCTGGAGTGACTAGATTTTTGTTTAAGTCTCCACAGAAACAGTCACAGAACACATACTAGCTGCTATTTGTGTTGTCTCTCATATCTCAGATCTTAACTTTTGTTAGTGAAATAATAATGTGGTGGAGAACATCTCCTGTTTCCAGCCAGGTTCTTTTCACACCCTCATCCAAGAATGTAGTGGACAGATAAGAGGTACTTTACTGTTGATTCGGGATCAACAACCTTAAGTGGAATAAAACAGCTTTAAAACATTGCCACATGGGACTTGACAAGTAAAATGAACAGGTTTGGCCTCTCAGACCAGTGGGATTCTAGTAGAGAACCATTATAGCAATGAGAAAGCTATCAGAAGGCTTAGGGGTCCCAACCAAGAGCTGTGCCTTGAAGAACAAGTGTTCAGATCACCAATAGGAGAACGAGAACAGCAGGCACAGCTTCTGTCTCAAGCAGCAGTAGAGGAAAACTCCCGTTTGGAGCTGAAGTGTAGAGTGTTGAAGTCTGAGGCAGGAATGAGTGAGGCTGGCTTGAGCAAGCACCCTGTTCCAAGTGGAAGCCCCAGGTGGCGGAAGCCTTAGGCACATGGAATCTCTAGCAAGTCCATCCCAGAGAGCCTTGAAGACAGTCTTTTTTTTTCTGATATCCTGAAGTCTTTACCTTCTGAAAAGAGCAGTAGCACCTGGGGCCAGCCCGCAGCCTGAGCCAGAAGCTGGACCCTGAACCCTTCCTTGCCTTCTTCCTTCAAAAAGTCTGTGGTGGTTCTGGCTGTGCATGTAATTTATAGGGTGCCAACTCAACTGAGTTTATGGGCTCTGATTGACTGAGTGTGGGTATTTAAATAATATGAAAAAAAAGGGACCAATCAAGGAAGAACTGTCAACCATGGTGGGAAAGAATCACAATCCTGCTGAGAGATGCCAAAAGTTAACAGGAATGTGGGCAGGCCTCCACCTCTATAGCTGTGTGAAGACTCTTATAAGAAAGCTTTCCTTTTCCTGGTTACTATGGTGATCTTGCAGGTTATCTATCACCTGCTTTCTTTTTGCATCCACTTCAACAGCTGTCAGCATTGCTGGCTGTCAGAAATTTTCATGTTGGGGTTGAGGCAGAGCATCCATAGGTGTTGGATGGAACCCCATCCTGGCCTTACTGGTCTTCCTTTAAATGTCTCTTCCACTTAGGGTAGGTCGCTGACAATCTTCTGCTGTGAAATGGATTTCAGGGCTGAGCAAGAAGATAGGATGGGAGAAGACTGTAGCACAGAAAAGATTTACTTGGACCAGTTTTGCATATTGGACCCCTTGGACCCCTTCCTCCCAGCATGAGATCAAGAAAGAAGAGAACCATCAAAAAACTAAGGAAAGGAGAGAAACTTGCAGAAGAGAGAGCCATTACTTTCATAGTATTCAACAGTCTATGGGTGAAATATTTTGGATTTTTTCTTTTGGGTAAGAGATTAATTAGAGGAGTTATTAATGTTGTGGACAGACAAACAGATAGCAACATGGCTTGTGGAGAGCTTTTGGGGCTGCTTAGCAGGAATCTGACATTGGCCAAGGACAAGGAAATGGGCTTTAGGCAGGAATCTAACATTGGGCCATGACAAGGAAGTAAGTTCAGGCAGGAATCTAATTTTAGGCTAAAGCAGAGAAATAATTTCAGTCAGGAGTCTAAGTCTTAGGCTAAAACAAAGAAGTAGGCCTCAGGCATGAATATGACTGTGGGCTAGGACAGGGAAGTAGGATCCCGATATTTTTGTCATCCCCTTGAGCCCTTAGAAACAGTGGTCTCCAGAGTGATCACAGGACTTTGTTTATTGCCTTGTTTGTTCCTTGACTATTTGCAGCTATCATATTGCTTGTTCCTCAACCTAGAACTGACCTAAATACTTGCATGTAATTAAAATGGTTTAAAAGAAAATTGAGAAAAAATAAACCCGCCTCAGCCTTCAGCCTCAGAACTGGCTGGGGTCATGCTGCAATATTGTCTAATCGGCTCTTTTCTTTTAATCCTCACTCCTGCGATGGAAAACCTGTTGACTGACTGAGGGGGCTTGGTCAATGGCTGGGGATCTAATGAGAATTTGGGATCCCATGACAGAGTAAGGGATTGCTTCCTATAGGTCTCAAAGGAAGGCAGAAGTATGTTTTATAGAGTGAAGCTGTCTCTGGTTCCTGGGCATCAGGAAGAAGGGAGGAACTTCCTGGGTAGTGTACTACCCTGAAGGTGTGAGGTAGGGGCACATTTAGTTAAGGTGTACCCATTATACAGGTGGAAGATATGTTGCCACCAACACCCCTCTGATGTCCCAGAAGACTCAAGAAAAAAAGCCATTCTCCTGGAATCCAGACGCTTTGAGGGTCTGATTATAGACTCAGGCTGGTTCTCTGCAGGGTGTCTGTCTCTCCCTGTAGCCACAGGGATCATGGAGTCAACCATGAGATTGGAGAGAGCTGCATGGGAGCACAACTTGAGCAGTGTCTGATCTGAGATTTAGCTTTTCTTTCCTTGAGTCCTGGTACCAGGGAGCAGGTTACAGATGCAGAGAGACTCTCCATAGGTGGCTTGACTTGCTGTGAAGCTGGATGGAGGAAAAGAATGCTGTAGGTGAGGGTGCCTTCACACAGAATTAGTCTGCAGCCCAGAATCTAGTAGTGGAGAGTTAGTAAGCCAGGAATTGCACAGCTGCAGGACTTACATGGTCTGTGAGAAGCAGGCTTTGTGACAGGTTCATAAGCTCCAGACAAACACATAAGTTTCCTTATAGAATGTAGACGTGTTCTATGTTGATTTTACTGTACTTTTTCTTCCATTTGTGTCTTTTCACTCTCTACTTAAAAAGTAGTATTCTTTTAATCTTTGGTCTTTTTTGTGGTTTCTTTTTGGGCTCATAAGTTATTTAAACAATATGCTCAAGGATAAGGGTGCCATTCAGTGGTAGACTGCAACTAGGTATACACAAGGCTTTGAGTTCAGTTTCCAATACCACACATTAAAAACAGCTGAAAGCAAATTTATTTCATAACTGTGGAGATTTAAAATTAAGCGTTCCTGTAATGCTTTGTCACCACAGCATACTTCTCATAATTACTTTTCATTTAAATGTGTTGTTCACTTGATAGAATATGTGTGTGAAAAAAATTTGTATATTCTCATGAGATGCAAAATTGTTTTCTGTCCATTAGTGAAAATGTGGTGATTTTGAGGTTCATATATCCTATATCTTTAATGATTTATGCTATTTCAATCACCACTCACAGAAAAAGGCATGTTGAAAAAAATTTACCAAAATCATAGTAGATTTGTCAGCCTTAAATATGTGTTTATTTACTTATTAGGGGCAGAATGTCAAGAACTTCAGGCTGGCTTCCTGTAGCCAAGGATAACCTTGTGCTTTGATCCTCC